AGACGCTCGCGCACCTGCCGCCGGAAGGCCTGAGGGCGACAGCCGGGTCGGGTCAGGCGCGCGCCGGCGCGGGCGGCTCGGGACTACAAAACGCGCTCCGGCGCGCCCGAGTGTTCGCGGACGCCGAGTCCCGGCCGGGTGGGTCCAAATTTCAACGGCCGCGTGGACGGGCAAACGAAAGACGGCCTTTCTTTCACCAACGTGTCAAGTCGCCGACGATTGATGAGGACTTATGAAAAAAAAGCATCGGCGGCGGCTGGCCGATACCTGCTCAGCGGGCCGCTGTCGGCTACCCGCCGCGGGCCGTCCCTTCTTTCAAAGTCGCAAGCGATCGAATCACCTCAAACTTCTTGAGCTCCTCCTTGGCGTCGGCGTAGAGGACGTCGGCGGAGTCGGGATTGGCCGCCGTCCGCTCCGCCGCCTGCAGCCAGTCCTCGAAGTCAGCAAAGTCGCGGAGGAACTTGCGCCACAGCCGCCACGTCTCCTCGATCCTGAAAAAAGAGGGCGGTCTCATTCGCCTTTTTCCGCCGGCGCCGACCGATGACGCTCGCCAGAGATTCCGTCGCGATCCTTACGGCAACGCGATCGGGCCGCAATTGTTTCGAGAATCCATTGGTTTGGATTCAGTCCACAATCGGATTTGAAAAAAAGAACAATAATCCCCATTTCCGTCCCTTTCCTGCAAATGGAGCGGGAGCGGGCCCGAAGGCCGCGGCGCAGCTTCAAAAAGGTTTGGGGCGGCGCGCACGCGATCCCACCTGATCCTGCGGTCCAGGGAGGCGGCGCAGATGTTCCTCCAGCGTCGGTCCAGGCCGCCGGCGGTCTGCAGGACGGCGTCGCGCTCCGCCCGGCTGCCGCAGGCGTCGGCGTCGCGCGCGAGGTCCTCGCACAAAGTCAGGACCGACGCCACCGTGGCCGCGCGCTCGTCGATGTCGCGCTGCGCCTCCTGAATCGAGGAGTTGCACGTGAAAACGTTGAAAGCGCGCTCGCTCGACTCACGAGAGGCTCTTTTTGCTTTTCGAGTGCGGAACATCCAAATTGGAGTCCGGTCTCGGTCGACGAGGCGG